ACGAAAATTACTATATTTGTCAATAAAGTTTTACAAACTTTTAGTTTTTGGCTATATGAGTGAATTTTTCAAATTTTGGCTATATTTGTCACAACGCGAATAGTTATGGCTATAAAACTGTATTTTGCCTAATTAGATTTTATGTATAAAGTGAAATTAACCGATATTACCTAATTTGTATGAGAAGAAAAAAAATAGGAAGGGCAAATTGGTCATAAATGATGGACTTGGAAGTCCATGATCAATTCCCACCTAAAGTGGTGGAATTTTCAAGTCTGTGGACCCTACGGATTTGGATCCTTAAAGTTCATGGGCCCCACGGATTTGTTGCCCCTAATACATCAAGCAAACAATGAAATTTAGACAAAGTCCATGATGGATCCAAATTCATCATAAAATCCCTCATGCAAACAACCCTTACAAATTGATCACTTACTTTTTTTTCTATAATTAATGAAAAGGTTATTTTATTTCATTAGGCCTCCATCTATTTTATGTCCCAAATTCTCCAATTCTCACTAGATAAGAGATAGTGTTGGTTAGATTTCAAGCTATCTTTCGATTCTTGTTACGGGATCATGTTATGAAAAATTGGATCGATTCATCGTTTGCTTCACGAGAATGTCTAGGCTGAGCTTTAACTCAATGATCATGCAATCAGAGCTCCTATGACCTGAGTAGAGACTTGAGTTTAAATTCTCACAAGGCTTGAGTGTAACGATTTGAATTCTAATTCATCCAATTACTTGACAAACACAAACATGAGAATATCATGTGAGGTTATGGTCTAGCCCCCCCCCAACACACACGCACACAAACGTGTGGTGACTCAGACTCTAGGCATTGGGAAAGCCTCAGAACCACGCAAATAGAACCCAAGGATCATGTGTCAAGATAATTATAGGTAGATAGTTGACGACAAATCAATATACTCCAATCCACGTATTGTTTTGGGGACGCCTGGTCTGACAAACTGAAAGAAAGAAATTGTAAACTTTCAAGTCTTCCTATGGTAGATATAGAGTCGACTCTCTTTCGACCTACCCCTCGATACATGATCAAGATTTCTTTTGGGCGTCATTCTTCTCGTCAGTGGCATGACTTCCTCAAGGCCAATAGTCGACCTAGCTCAGTACTTGCACTCTACATCTAAATCAACACAATGGCTTAATTCATAGAGAGAGGGAGAGAGAAAGTGTATGAAAGAGAAGAAGAAGAAGAAGAAGAAGAAGAAGAAGAAGAAGAAGAAGACAAGCCCATGAGTAATGTACTAAAGTAGGGATGGCAAACCAGATCCACCTGGTGGATATTCCCCGATCTTATCTGCAATGGGGCGCCCATGAGTAATGCACTAAAGCAGTCACCCAGCTAGCTATTCATTTCCCAGAGACCCAGCATGCCATGCCATCCCCAATCAATTCCCTAGCTAGCGACCCTGCATGCCATCCCTTCCCTAATCAATTCCCATAAATAAACCCTGCATCCGAGAAATCTATCTCGCAATGGCCAATTCCCAATTCCCCAATCCACAATCTCCACCCTTATGCCTTTATTGAAACCATTCTTCATCCCCCAATGGCCAATTCCCAATTCCCCAATTCTCGATCTTCCAATTACTCCTTCTGATAGACCGTTAATTGCACATGTTTTTACCCCTATTCTTACTGATGACTCGATATTTGCACATGTTTTCCCCTGTGTTTCTTGATCGTTTGAGCTTTAATTATCACATCTTTGGCCTATTTTACGCTAGGTTGTGTTCCTTTGTCATATTTCAGGTCCTAGCACATAAAGTGAAGCATAGGCGCAAAGTTCAAGTCAATCAGAGATCAATTGACGATTCGGGAGAAGAAACTCGGGTATGACCTGAAGAAGAATGGATTTCTACCTCACTTCATGAACAAAGAATCATGCAAGCTTGTTATGAAATGAAAGAGGACGAGACTACGAGCGTCTGGGATCAAACGGCGACTGATTCGGAGTCCGGACGAGGGAGAAACGAAGCATTGAACAGGCTCGGCAGTGAAAACACGGGCAGTAGGCCTTCAGAACACGGCCGTGTTCTGTGACCGTGTTTTTACTGCCGAGAGCTGATTTGAGTTTGGCCAACTCGAGCTGAAAACACGGGCGGGCTGAGGCAAAGCACGGCCGTGCCCTCGACCGTGCTTTGGCCACTGATGCCCTTTTTAAGCAGATTTCAGCCGAAACAGAGGGGGAGAGCTGGGTTTTGGATCCCAAACACCCAAGGGACGAACCAAAGAGAGAGGGGGCGATTTGAGGGCATTCTTGGAGTGGAATTGGAGGATTTCTTCACATTGGAAGCTCAAGGAACAAGCCCGGACTTGAAGACTGATCATCATAAGATTCTTACTGCAGTCTCTCTCTTCTCTATGGAGTAACTTCCCTTCACTTAGGTTTTGAGGAACCCTAGCTATGTTTGTTTGATTGGATGATTGTATGAGTACTCTTACTTGATAATCTTGAGTTCATATTCAATCTATGCATGTTTTCATGATTCAATTCTGCTTTAGTCGAGATTATTGATTCTGCTTTGATCCTATGAGAGCGAATACCTGATTAGGTCAATAGAGCACCATAGATTGATAGTAGTGGATCGATTGCTTTAGTCGAGGGTTGATTCACTGCTTTGTATCGATTGAGAACCTCATTCGATAGAGGGAATCTAGTTCAGAACGCCTTGATCAGTTGTTCTAGAGAAGGATACGTCCCTTTAGGCAATTGACTCAAGAGGGCCTTGTTCCTTTAGTCGAGACTCAAGGTCTAGTTAAGGATTCTCCGCATTGTGAATGAAAGTGAAACATGTTAGAGATCATCAATCGTTAATCTGGCTAGTGGCTAGGGGGAATCATACCTAAGTGAGTTCCCAACCTGTAATTAGATTAACTTAAACTGTAGTTTGCTAGAGTAGTTTTAGTTCTTTCATCTTAATCTGGTTTGCTAGATAATGAACTGAAGCTGAGTAATAGTAACTCTAGAGACCCGTGGATTCGATATTTATTACTTGAGCCACTATACTGCAGTCCCTTTCATTGGTTACACTTGGCCACTGTTAGGAGTTGTGTTTTAGCGAGTCAAGTTTTTGGCGCCGTTGCCGGGGACGGCTAGGTTGTTGAAGAAAAGTGATTTCTGTTACTTTAGCATTTTCATTTTCGCATTGAGTTGTTGTTTTTCCCACTTGTGCTTTCACGGGGTGTTCATTGCTTGATTGTGTGCAGATAGTGCATGACCCGTAGCCAGTCGGGAGGTTTACTGCCGTTGAATCCTGAGATTGAGCGCACTTGCAAACAGCTTCGGAGACAACAGCAAGCTAGACTGGCTACGGTGGAGCGCCGAGACGACCAATTGACCAGCGACTCCGAGGACGAGCACGAGATGGAAGGCGATCAGAACCCACCTCCTCAGAACCAGATCCTGGGGAACAACCAAAACCCCCCGGGAGCTAGGCACCATCATCATCCGCCACCACCGGGTCCCACCATGGAGTACTACTATACTCCACGGATTGCTGACATCCGCCCAGTCATCCTCTATCCGCCTATTCCTGCGAACAACTTCGAGATCAAGCCATGCTGGATTCAACTTATCACAACCTCTATCCAGTTCCATGGCTTGAAGGATGAGGAAGCCCGGGTACACCTTTCCCGTTTTCTACAGCTGACGAACGGGTTCAAGCTGAACGGTGTCCCGGATGACGCGATCCGCCTTCACCTCTTCCCCCATTCTCTGGCGGGGAATGCTAAGAGGTGGTTGGAGACCCAGCCCCCATTGTCCATCACCTCTTGGGACGATCTGGCTGACAAGTTCGTGCACCGGTATTATCCGGCATCGAAGACCACGGAGATACAGCGGGAGATCACTCACTTCCGCCACGAGCCAGATGAGTCCCTTCGTGATGCATGGGAGCGGTACATGGGATACTTCTGGCAGTGTCCCCATCATGGTTTCAGCGATGCCTTCACAATAGGGAACTTCTACAGCGCCCTCACTCCAGACAGCCAGAGGGTGATTGAGTCTCTATGCCCAGGAGGGGATTATATCCATATTTAAATAAAATAATACATTACAAACAAAAGGACAAATAATCATATTTGAATGTAAAATTTAACGTCATGTCCAAACGTTGATGCTTGAATCCAATAGATAACATCAATATCAAAATGTTCATACTTGAATCTGACTAATTTCTTTCTTTTTCTTTTTGTTAGTTAATTCCACTTAAACTGTCAATATTTTGTTTAGGGACCGAAAATTGATTGTTCCAATCGAAATGTCGAATCACTCTTTTCTCGATTTTGACTACCATTTCATATCGGTAGTCTTCCACCCAGGATTTTCCTAACAACTGTTGAACCCGAATGTATCGGTAGTCTTCGAGCAAGCTTTTGTTCAATATTTTTTTTAGGGTTAAAGACACATTTGGTCACTGAGATTACTAAATCGGGACATGTTTAGTCACTAGAAAAAATTAATATCAATTTTAGTCACTCGAATTACTGAAACATGTCACATTTAGTCACTCTCCGTTAGTCTCCTTCCAACTCCGTTAATGAAGTCCGTTAAGTGCTGATGTGGCAAACAGAATTGCCTAATAAGCCAGATATAACCCAAGAAAAATAAAACCCGACCCGCCACGTCATTAAACCCAACCCAACCCAATCCATGACCCAACCCGACCCAACCCAACCCAACCTTTCTTCCTCCTTCCTCCCACCTCCTCCTTTCCCCAAAACCACCACTGCAGCTGCTCTCCTCCTTCCTCCCACCTCCTCCCTCAAACCTATTCAACCTGACCCAGCACCAAATCCGTTCGTCTCCTCTGTTACATTTCATCCCCAAATCCCAACCAAACTAGAAAATAAAAAAAAACCCTTTCCCATTTCTCTCCACAACAATCTGATCTACATTCACAAAAAAAACCACAGCAATCCAATCTTCTTCTCAATTCACACACCTCTACTCCTCCTTCAATCAGCACAAAAATGGTGTCCCTTCCCCATTCCATAATTCTCCTCTCCCTCATCCTTTCCACCCTCACCATCTCCACCATTGCTCAATCCAAGCCCAGATCCCTAATCCTCCCGCTCACCAAAGACCGCGCCACCAACCAAATCCTCACCCGCCTCGATCTCGGCACTCCCCAAGTCTCCCGTAACTTCATCGTCGACATCGCCGGCCGACAGCTCTGGCTCGATTGCTATAGCGGCTTCTCCAATTCCTCCTCCACCTACCGCCTAGCCCGCTGCGGCTCCGCCGCCTGCTCCGTCTCCAAAGCCGAATGCAAGTCCCCCTGCTTCCTCCCCCTGCAGCCGGGTTGCTTCAACAACTCCTGCACCGTCCTGACCCGTAACCCGATCCGGACGACAGGTGGCAGGTCCGAAGTCGCCCTCGATACGGTGTCGCTTCACTTCACCTCCACGAGAGGCGCACGCGGCGGGCCCCGCATCTCAATCCCCAATTTCATCTTCGCCTGCGAAACCGTCTTCGGGCTCGATAACCTAGCCGCCGGGGTAGAACCGCAGAAGGCGCACTCGGCCTCTCCAGTGAGCGAATTGGCCTCCCGTCGCAGATCTCGATAAAAGCCAAAGGGTCGGTTTGGTGGGTTAGGATTTATTTCTGGGTCGGTTTGGGTTAATGGATTGGGTTGGGTTTAATATGTGGCGGGTTTAGTGACGTGGTGGGTCTGGTTTGACCATTTCTTGCCCAAAACGGTGCTGACTAGGCGCTCACGTTAGCCACGTCAGCACATAACAGACTCTTTTAATGGAGTTGGACGGCAACTAACGGCGAGTGACTAAATGTGTCCAATTTTAGTAATTGTAGTGACCAAATTTGATATTAACTTTTTATAGTGACTAAACATGTCCCGATTTTGTAATCTCAGTGACCAAATGTGTCTTTAACCCCATTTTTTTTATCACAACTTTTGTTCAATATCAATTGAACAGAATGTATCGGCCTCCATACTAGTGGTTTGACATTTGACAACCATGTGTGTTTCGCTTTTTAGTTTGGACTTTACGACCCGAAACCCTTGGCTTGATACAATACAAGGCCAGTCTAAAGGAAACGACGAACTTGACATTAACGCAGTAAAAGCGCGATTCTACCTAGAAGTGGAAATGGGTAAAATCGTAAAACGTAGAATCAAAGCGTAAAAGTGTAAGTTTTTGACGCACCCTCTATAATAGCTAAAATATGTGAAGTACAACATATAGTATGTAAAATGTGAGTGTGTAGATTTTAGATAAGTGGATAACTACATGAAATTCATAATTAAAATGTAATATCTAACACATAAACTAATTTGCGTTGACTCAAAAGTAGAGATAACTCATAGCATCTCAATAATAAGCTCATAAACGTAGAACGTAACCCGTAAACTAGGGGCGAGAAACGGTGCGGTCTAGTCCAGACCATAGATACGGTCTGTGGTCCAGACCGAGAGGTTGGAACGCAGACCATGGATCAGACCATATACTATACGGTCCAGACCAGACCACACCTGTGCGGTGCGGTACGGTACGGTCTGGACCACCAGACAGACCATGTTAAAAAAATTAACTCTTGTTCGCCCTCCAACCCTTCGCCGATATCTATAAAAAAAATCTAGTGACCAATATGCTAGTGAAACAAAAAAATTGTGACCGTATTACATGAGAAGAAATATGAGGATAGAAGTGGGTTTTTTCAATTTTCAAATAGCCTTATTTCCCTATTCCTCTTTGTGCTACCGCTTCTCTCCTCTCTCGAGTGATCCGAAGGTTCTCCCAGTTGATAACCTTTTTGATGACGTCGAGGTAATTTCGAACCACTAAGATGGTCGCATATCTCTCAATAATTTTCCTTATCTCATCAAGGTGAACGAATTTTTTTGTAGCGTTTAATTTTTATCGACTCCATAGTCTAGACATTATTTGTGAATATTATTTATGAGTCTTTCTGATTTTTGTGTGGTAATTTGATAAGGAGATAACATATAAGCGATCATTTTGCAATTTGTTGGCTCTCAACTAGATGAAGAATCAACTAACTTTGTTCTTCAAATACACATATGGAGGTTCAATTTAGTGTTATTTTTGTCCAAGGTAGTAGGTAGTGTGTCGCGGTTTGTTACGGTTTACTGCGGTAGACCGCGGTCCAGACCACTTCATACCACGCACTAAAGGAGGAGACCGCAAACCAGACCAGACCATAGTTCTGGTCTCACGGTCCAGACCAAACCATACGATACGGTCTAGACCGCGGTTTCTCATACGGGTTGGTCTGGATTCCCAGCCCTACGGTGTAAACGAGCTTGAGAATCCAAATTCTCATAAGTTGGTTTGAGTTTACATAATTACATATGATCAATTACCCATAAACTTTCATCATAACCCAGGTAAGAGCTACAGGTGAAAATTAAGGGAGAAGACTAATAGAAGGTCAGCGGTTGTTGAGAATACCATTGGGTGTCTTTTCAACCTAATGTGAATCCCCTATTTCGACACTAGTTGTAGAACGAGTGATGAATCATGTTTTTCTTTTTCTATTTTTTGCTGATATGTCTCCAAAATTACATCATTTTGGGCCAATTAGCACATTTTTATGAGATGATCAAAATCGTATAAAAACGCTTCAGAATCGCGATTTTACCGATTTTAAGTGATTTTATCGATTTTACCCAGATTTTTACCAGTTTTTGTGACTAAGCGACTTTAAATAGAAACTGAAACGTTTTGGTGATAACGTAGCATCATGCTAACATAAATTGATTAACGGTACTATAGTAACTACTACTCATAGAAGTTACTTCCTTATGTTGCTCTCTTCCTGCCCTCCACTCCGCTTCTACTTCGCTTTTTATGTAAACAAACCAGCAGGTTACTTGTAAAAATTATTGGGTCAAACTTGTGTACACTTGTAGTATACTATACTCCAAGTATTTTTAGTGATATATCTCTATCTATACCATAAATTAAATCGAGTTTGAGGCATGATACTATACCCTAACCTCTATTGATAAATCTCAGGCCCTAATTCTCTAAACTCAAACCTGAAGTTCATTTTAAAGCAAAATAATAATCAATCGTTGAGATTGGTCGGAGTCCATCGAAGTAGATCTAACAATCAGATCACTTGGAGTATACCAGTCGTTACCAAAAAATATTTCATCATTCTACAAAAAATTCACCATGTTAATTTTTTATTACCTTGTCATCCCTTATAGCGTTTTTTTATTTGTTTCGTGAGGTTTCTGGTGTGCTTTCTCGTCTTTCGGATCAGCTTTGTGAGAGTTGTGGTGTGGTTGCACATATTTCTCGTCTATTTCTAAGAACTTGTGGTATATTTTCTGATATTTTTGCCTTTTTGGTCTACTTTAACAAACTTATGGTATGTCTGTAAGATTTATGGTATACTTCTAGGAATTTGTGGTATGTTTTATGAGGTTTCTCGTCTATTTAGGGAATTGTGAATGTTTTAATGAGGTTTATGCCTTTATGGTATTGCTTATGGGAAGTTGTGATATGCTTTATGAGATTTATAGTCTGCTTCATGCAATTTGTGGTATGCTTTATGAAATTTTTAATTTGCTTTATGAGGTTTTCGGTATGCTTCTGGGAACTTGCAATATGATTTATGAGATTTCTGGTGTGATTTATGACATTTCTTATATGCTTTAGGCAACTTATGGTCAGTTTTGAGTTTTCTGGTTTGCTTTGTAAATTTTATGGTGTGATGGCTCATACTTCCTTTACAAGCTTCATGGTCTATTTTAAGTTATTTGTGATGTGATTTGGTGTTTCAGGTATGTGTTTTGTGATCTGCTTCACCATGCTCGTGGTGAGGCCCATGACGCGAAATAAATGAGTAGCGTCACTCATGTGTGCCCCGTAATTTTTAATAGGGTTAATCCCACTAGAAAATCCAAATTATATTAAAAGTGTCGTTTGTGTACTAAACTATTCAATATAACAAATCTAGCACAAATTATGTGTTTCTTAACATTTGTGTCCTAAACTATTCAATATGACAAATCTGGCACATACCACATAGATGCTAACTAGATTTTCTGTTAAATACTAGCGGTGAACACCAGTCAACATTAACGAAAAAATAGTTCATGCCAAATTTGTTATATTGAATAAATTAGTACACAAATAACACTTTTTGAATAGTTTTGACTTTCTAGTGGAATTAACTATTTTTAATAATTACAAACGTATCCCTCCCGATTAAAAATCGACATACGACATTAATTGTGACCAACCTCTTACCGAAAAAACATAAAAACAAATATTCTATTGGCTGAAGCTATTATTAGCACTATCACCATGCTAACAAATTGACAAGTACGGTGTTAGCACTTGCTGGCGTTGTATCATGTGGCTAAGCTTATTATTACCTTTTGCCAATATTACAACTTAGCTTATAGTGCTGCCAAACTTGAAACTACTTTACCAGAAACCTCACTACAATACCCCCTTCTCCAGATCTCTACTATGACTAGCCGCTTCCTCAAACTCAGAATTTTTACAGAGGCCAGAACACAAATGGATGTATCCAAAATCACCTGTTCCAGAAAGCTGCTACACTATTTCTAGTGGTAAATAAACTTCAGCAACAACGATCATAATCGTAAAAAGTTCACTCATTTTAGAAAAAAAATCCGACATACAATTAGATCATACGGGGACACAGAAGGAAGAGCTGAGAGCTGGAGGCATTATGCAAACCAAGTGAGGCCCGGGAGGGTTGCAGCTTATGTCCGACTCGTCGACATTAGGCAGTCCCAGTTGAGGAGGTCGGACGTAGCCAGCAACTAGAGGCACACACAGCACCGATATCACTATTCTTGAACCTGCAGCACGGGAATCGATCATTAGAACCATCATCTAGAGCGAGCGATAACCCCTCGAGAAACTGTCTGAACCAAGAAAATCAACTGAAAGTAGTTTTGACACCTTGCTTCTTTGAGAGAGGAATATATCCTCTCTTCCTTCCAGCAATCATCCAATTCTCAGGATTCGCATTCACTTCATACAGTACCTCCCCCTGTTGAAAATAATATGCATTTGCCAGAACAATTAAAGACTTGGTGCTCAGATGTTTCAACTTTGCTAGTAATAGACTGGGGCAGACTGATAACGTATTCTCTCAAACACTAAGGAACCAAATATAGGCAATTTTGAATAATTATTCATGAAGAGTCAACTACTCAACTGCACCAATGATGACTAAACTACACTTGCGGTTCAAGGCCACTAAACTAAAATGCGGCTCAGTTACTGAAATGATCACTGAAATTTTATATTTAGCGACCGCGCCACAGGCTAAAACTACTTTGCTATACAGCTACCATATCAGTCACATTTTTGTCCAAATTGTTCAGATTAGCATTTCAACTCATCCAAACCACTAATGAAGGTCAAGTATACCATAATTACCTGACAAGAGACATCCATTTTAACCCGGCCTTACCCAAGCCAAACCAAACTCATTCATAAACCAAGTTCCTATCCACAAACTCTGATATTTTTAATATTATCTTCACGTAAAATAAAAAGCACGATGCAATATTTTGCATTGGCATACAACA